TTTCTCAATCATTCTTGAAAACGATAGCATTATAAGCAAATTTTTTGGCATTTTTTGATTAATATTTTCACTCATCTGTACTGTTTTTTTAAACTTTTGTGATCTTATTTTATATTGCTCATAACTATACCTAAAAATAAAGCGCCAAATCAAAGAATAAATTAAATTATAGAAGATGTTAACCAGTTGTGAATTTTGAAGCCAAAATTCAAAACTGCAAATTAGTGTTGAGTACAGTAAAATCTTATTTTATCAGAATTAACAACGGGATATCTTGCAATAAACGGTTTGTTAATTTGCAGTCATTATTTGTTTTTTGGAAATGTTTATGGCAGTAGCAATGAAGAAATTAAACTTTTTAAACATTTAGTATTACAAAACTGCAGTTAAGTGCCTGGTATTGGAAAGACATCAGATTACGGCTAAATATTGTCGACTACCTTTAATTCTTTTCTTTTGTGGTGTCGAAACTTCCTTGAAACTATAGCTGGCGATATGATTCAATGCAATAACGCATAGAAGTACCAACAGGTTTAGAAGGAGAACTTAATAAACTTTTGTGATTATTATGATGACAACTTTTTTTTTTAGAAGACTGAAACGCAGCCATTGTTCTTCCTCTGAAATTCATTGTATTGAAAGCAATTTCAAGTACTACCAATATCCAACATTCTACATCAAGTTTTCTGGTAAAAATTCCAACAGTTCTTGATTTGACCGCGATTTGAATGTTGTGAGATCTTCTTCTGTTCTTCACAGATTCGCTTAAATTACTTCTTTATGTTTCATTTTGTTTTCATTTAGCTGAACAGAGGTTTCCGGTCATTTGACAGCTGTTATGGGCTTAAAATATGGAAGATCAGTATAGCTATCTCCTTCTCCCTGAGCATTAATAGTTGGCAGAATTTTAGCGAGAAATTAAAGATGTAGTCAAACCCTTTTTGATCTCGTCAAATTCATCAAGACTTTTTGCGTTATCGCGCCCAGCTTCTTTTTTACAACTGTCAACCAACGTATCTTTGGTTTTTTTTTTTTTGAAGGCTGCCATGCGTCTGTTGCAATGTCCAGAATCTGAACCGATTTTTCTGTTTTTGAAAAGATGCCGAATTTCCTCAACGTTTTAAGCATTGCTTTTCAATACATCGAACAATCTTTTTTTAATACTGATATGTAGTTTTTTTTTTT